GTAGTCCTCCCTAAATAATCTCTCTCCTATGCTCCACGTTTTCTTCATTGTAATCATTGCTTTCTTTCTTCTTTCTAAGATATGCTTCTCCGCTCCTCCATTTTTTTGCATAATGTATCCTAAGTAGCTAAACTCTCTTACTTCCTCCAATTCTTCTTCTCCCCATTTCCATCTCCTCTTCTTTGTTCTTCCTTTCCCCTTTTCGAATACCATCACTTTTGTCTTCTCCGAGCTTAATATTAGACTTTTTTTCTCTAAATATTTCTTAAATCTCCTCAGCATTTTCTTCAGCTCGCCTTCTCTCTCCGCCAGTAAAACTATGTCGTCCGCATACATTAGCGTCCATATCTTCCTTCTTCCTACCATTACTCCCCCCGTCTGTCCTCTTTCCATTTATTATTATTATTATTATTATTATTATTATTATTATTATTATTATTATTATTATTATTATTATTATTATTATTATTATTATTATTATTATTATTATTATTATTATTATTATTATTATTATTATTATTATTATTATTATTATTATTATTATTATTATTATTATTATTATTATTATTATTATTATTATTATTATTATTATTATTATTATTATTATTATTATTATTATTATTATTATTATTATTATTATTATTATTATTATTATTATTATTAATATTAATAAGATAGAGGCGCTTATTTATTGTCAGCGATAAGAGGAGGATTTGCATTGAGAAAGAGTTGTGGCTCACACTAGTGAAAGATTTCAGTAACAACACTTACATGAGCAATCGATAAAAAGTTATGTTTATTTATGATATAATGTATGTTACACAAATGTATATATATATATGGATTAATTGTACTTTATGGCATAATTGTGTATGTACTTATATATAATCAAAAAGTTGTTGAAAAGATTTCTGTTTCTTAATTTCTTAATTATCACAACATCAATATCAATTGCGTATAAATTTTCCATTGTTAAATGAAAACTAAAAATTCTTCATTAGTACAGTTATCATTAAAAGTCTTATAGATTGAATACGAAATATTTTGGATAATGAATTTTCAATTACGAGAAGAAATATATATTTTAAAAGTTATAGATACTTAGAGAAAGAAAAAGAAAAGAAAGAAAGCAAGTCGTAGGACTAAAGCTTATGCAAGCAATCAGTAAATCACAAAAATCAAAATTTTTTTATTGTTAACGTCGTCTTTGTCGATTGTCGTTTCATATTTTTTCACATGAGCAACGTTAGAAATAAAAAAATTTCTAATAGATTTTTTATTGACAATTTCGCAAATTATCGACTTTTTCTAGACATCTCTCTATATTAATAAAATATGTAGTCGGGGGAAATACGATGCGTAAGATTATTTGGAATAGTAACTTTTTGTATTTTTTGTATTCATATAATTCACTTTCTCTAAAAGCAACTACGATACCAAACGCTTTTTGCAAAATGCTTTTTGTAAAATGCTCTTTCTACTTACAAAAATAATATCGTCGTTTGTATAATTATTCGGAAAAACTTTGAATTTGAGAAACATTGAAAAATTCAGAAGAAAATTTTACACAAATTTCTTTAAAAACATTGTTTATAAAAACAAATTTTACTTAAAGCATTACGAGCAGTCGTAGAGAGCGAGTTACAACATAAGCTATACTAATCCGTAAAGTATCTTATATATAATGTAAATATTTTTAACATGTTATCACAATTAAACTTTACACAGAAAGATATTATATTTTGCATGTAACACTGTTGATATTTTATAGTAGTGTAAAAGATTTTTTACGTTATCACTATTAGATACATACATATATATATATATATAACCAAATAAAAAAATTAATTTAAGATGATCTATAGTAATCGTACATAAAAAATATAAACTTTTTTATGATTCTTATATTAATTCAATTTTTTATCACAGATGAAATTTGAGAATATTCCCAAAAAAATATTGCTTTAAACTTATTGAAGTGTTTAACTATTTAAAAAGCGATTACCTGATAGTGACTTAGTTTGTGTACAATTTTTATCATAAAAAATTATGGTTGTCAGTAATATATCTTTTCATAAACACTACCAACAAATATAAAGTTATAAAAACGTGCAATTGTGATAAAATATGTACAATAAATTTGCTTTTTTTGCTCTCTCCACGTAAAATTAAATATTATCTATGTTAAAAATTATGATTTACATTAAAATACAATGTAATATTTCTCCTTCCCTTCCCAAGTTCAAGAAAATTCAAAACTATAACATGATATGTTTTTAATATCCCGTAAGTATAAATAGATAATACAATATATATATATGTATATATGTATATATATTCCTTTTAAATAATTGATATCACAAAATATCTAATAGTGATAACGTAAAAAATCTTTTACACTAGTATAAAATATCAATTATACAGGGTGTCCTAGTCCTAGACCATAGCGAATGCGGCAACTTCATACTCGACATAATTCATTGTTTTCCACACTTGCCACACAAGATAATGTAAGACGCTATAGGGCTTATAACCCATTCAGCATTAGAGACCCTCTAATAACAGACTGGCAATAAGAATGTGTCGTCCATGTTTCGTCAAAATCCTGCGAGTGAGAGAGAAATATAGGCTATCTCACTCTTCCACTCACACAAATGTCTGGCACGTGTTTGTTTATATATGTGTCTTTCAATTCATGTCGGTGTAAAATGACACGTGTTGTGTGTTAGAATTTCATAAAAATGGGTGGATGCTTAGCAGAATTTTGCAACAATTCATCATCGAAAGATTACACATATAATGAAAATATTTCCCAGAAATCCTCAACGATGACCTCATGGGTCAAAAATGTTAGTCGTCAAAATTGAACACCTACAAAGAATTCGTATCTTTGTGAGGTCAAATAACATGTTTCTAATAAAATTAATCAAAAATGTATTATTAATTTAATTAAAAGTGATGTTATGAATCTTGTCTTTTATCTTTTATTTCTATTGGAACTTATTAGTGTCTTATTATCTCTTTTATATCACCTCTTTTTGTATATCAACTCTTTTTTATAGAATTAAGAGAAAACATTAAATATAAAAAATTGTTTAACATAAATTATTTAGATTAATATAAAAACTAGTTTTTAGTATTTCTATAATATTTATCATTTAATATTATTTACATTTAAAATAAATAGAGTAATTGAAATTTGAATATGAGCGGGAGTTGACGAAAAATGCCGGACCAATCAAAAGTGGCCCTCTTATGGCCAGTCTCTTATTAAAGGGTTTCTAATTCAGCATGACTTTCTGCTGCCATCTGTATTGCGCGCGCAGCCGTTGTCTCGTTGCTTGCCAACTGCTTGACAACAGCGCCTTCATTTGCTAATCACTTAGCAACCTATATTTAATCATTAAAGTGATACAGTTGTGATACAAATATCGTTTGTTAATAAACAACCAGTTCTAGCAAATTCCTTCACACCTTCCTCCCTGACTCATTAAAATCTCATTAACCCCTCGGTACCTCCTGCAATAATATTAATAAATTGACTGTCGTTTTAAGTGAAAACATCGCATAAACATAGCTTATAAATTTCTCTTACCTACCAATCATGAGTACATTTTCCAATGAAGAATATGCCGATATTCATTTTATTTATGGTTTCTGTAATGGTAACGCACGTGCAACAGTAACAAAATATTACCGACGGTTTCCTAATCGCAGAGTACCAGATCAAAGAGTTTTTAGCAATGTCCACCGAAGCATTAGATTTACTGGTAAGGTCCCAAATAAAAATCTTGAGAGACCATTAAAGCTACATCGTCAAGTCGAGGATGCGATACTAGCAACGGTGAACAGAACTCCTACTATTAGTATCAGAAGACTTTCGGCGCAAACTAATGTCTCTAAAACGACAATTTGGAAAATACTGCGTGATTATGATTTATACCCATTTCATTTTATGAATGTTCAAGCTCTTCAACCAAATGATTATCCTACACGCGTCAATTTTTGTCACTGGCTTTTAAGAAATCGGCAAATACATACAAAAATTTTATTTACCGCCGAAGCTACTTTTACGAGAGACGGCATTACAAATAATAGAAACTTACACGTTTGGTCACTACAAGAAGAAAATACTCATGCTATTACTGAAACACATTTTCAAAATCGATTTTCAGTGAATATCTGGTGCGGTATAATCGGTAATCGTCTAATAGGGCCCATCATTATTGAAGATCATTTAAATGCTGAACGATACTTGCATTTATTACAAGAACAGTTGCCCGAACTTCTTGAAGATCTGCCTTTAAACATCAGAACACAAATGTGGTTTCAACAAGATGGAGTACCACCTCACTTTAACAGAATTGTTACGAGATATCTAAATGAAAAATTTCCTGAGCGTTGGATTTGTGTGGACATCACGTTGCGGGACACCCTGTATATACAGGGTGTCCCATTTTTAAAGTTCCCCTCATAACTTTTCAGGATCAACGTTTGAAAGAAAACGACTCGGATAAAAGTTGTAGGGAACAAAGGGGGCTATCTAATAGTGACCTTAGATTTGACATTAAAGGTCATTTCCAAGGTCATTTGAAGGTCAATTTCCGTTTTTTAAATGGAACCCCCCATTTTTTATTGTATATTCTTGTAGCTTATCTCGAGAGCTTTTCAAAACACTATAATAAAGTATATCTTCATTAAATATTTTTCGCATTATTTTATATCTTAATCTGACATATTTTGATATAAAAAATAAAATATCTCGTAAAATATTTAGTTTTCGATAATCTTACCGTAATACTTTTATGTACATAATAACGAGACAAATCAATTAGTGTAAAAAAAAACAAATAATTGTTTAAAAAAATATATTGTAAATAATTACATACTTTTTCTTAAAAACAATTATTTTTGGATGTCAGTACAATGATGATGAATGTAATAGTGGGCGATCCGACTGACAATCGGCGCTGCTCAAGATCCGGGTTGAACAGTGTGAAATGGTCTATCGGGCATATGGGTATGAGGAACCAGGTCTCATATGCGAAATGGACTACTGGAACTTTGAACCACAAAATATCTTTGCGGAAACGGCACGGAATTGCCACCTGGAACGTGCAAGGTTTAATATGCACGCAGGTAAACTGGAAATTGTAGAAAAAGAAATGGAGGATTTCAACATTAATATCCTGGGCCTCTCCAAAACTCATTGGAAAGGTAGAAGACACTTTAGAAGCGCATCTGGCAACATCATATATTTTTCAGGCCCAAAGGAGGAGAGTAAGAAAGGGGTGGCCCTAATTATTCCACCGAAATACGAAAAGGCAGTTTTGGGATACAGCATTGTGAGTAATAGAATCATTTATTTAAGGATGCGAAACGACCCCAACGTCCTCAACATAATACAGGTCCACGCTCCAACTTCAACGCCAGATGACCAGGATATAGAAGACTTCTATGGAGAACTGGAGGCATCCATTAGCCGAATTCTTGATCGGGAAGTTACAATAATCATTGGTGATTTGAATGCCCAAATAGGGAGAACCAATTTAGACCACGATATGAGACAGATCCTTGGAAGCTTCGGATTGGGTGAGAGAAATGAGCGGGGTGAGCATCTCCTGGACTTCTGCCTCCAACACAGACTAACAGTGATGAACACGTGGTTCAAACATCACCCACGCAGACTGTACACATGGAGATCCCCGGGGGATCGTACAAGAAACCAAATTGATTATATTCTAATCAACAGACGATGGAAATCATCGATAACCAATGTAAAAACATATCCGAGTGCTGATTGTGGAAGTGACCACCAGCTACTAGCAATGAATCTTAGGCTGCGTCTGAGGAATGCTCAGAAAACAACCGTAAAATCGCCAATCCTAAATGAATCTGCAATGGAATGCTTCAGAGAAAAGGTGGGTAAAGCGCTGACCACTACGATTATTAGATCAAGTGACACCGTTGAATCCTCTTGGCGAAGTATAAAACAGGAAATTATACATGCGGCGCAGCAATATCGCAACACTACAGGAAATCCTAAGAAACCATGGATAAGGAAGGAAACGTGGGAGACTATTAAGCAAAGGAAAGCTGTTAAGATGAGAAATGGTGCCCAAGACCAATACACAAGATTATCCAAAGAAATCAAACGCCAATGCCGAAGAGACAAAGAAAGATACATACTGGACATATGCAAGGAAATCGAATCCCACGGAAATCGTAATGAGTCACGTGATCTATATACCAAAGTGAAGCTTCTAGCTCAAGAATTCAAACCCAAAAATTGGGCAATCCAAAACGAACTAGGGGAAACCATAAACGAGCAAATCCTGGAGGTGTAGAAGAGCTATAATTATACCTAGCTCTAAATTATACCAACAAGAACAAATGGATAATACACCCCTGATGAATGAGGACCTAAGTCGAATTGAGAAAGAGCCGGAGATAATGCTAGCGGAGATTGAAGAAGCCATAAACCTGCTAAAGAGACATAAAGCGACGGGATATGATACGGGTGGATTTCAAGTGAATTACTTCAAAGCTTGGGCATAGAGGGAAATCAGGCTGCATTCGAAGTGTGCAATAAAATATGGAACACCGGAATTTGACCAGAGGACTGGTGCACATCTATATTCGTTCCCATACATAAGAAGGGACCGACAACAAAATGTGAAAACTATCGCACAATCTCCGTAGTCTGTAATGCAAGTAAAATCCTGCTCCAAATAATACTAACATGTATTAAACCTTTTCTAGATCGCCAAATACCACAAGAGCAGGCTGGTTTCGCAAAAGGGGAAGGCACAAGAGAACAGATTCTGAATATGCGACAGATGATCGAAAAAAGTCGCGAATTTCAACTCCCAATGGTCATCTGCTTCCTGGACTATCAGAAGGTTTTCGACTACGTTGACTGGCCGCATCTGTGAGATATTCTGATAGAAATGGGAACTCTCAAACACCTCGTAATGCTTATCAAATACCTCTATAAAGCAAATAATACAAGAATCAGGCTGGATAATCTGTTTTCGACGCCGTTTAAAGTAGAAAGAAGAGTTCGACAGGGCTGCATCCTCTCGCCAATCTTGTTCAATATCTACGGTAAGCATGTAATGAGGAAGGCATTGGAGGATTGGCACGAAGGAATCACTATTGCCGGGAAGAAGATCTCCATCCTCAGGTATGTGGACGACACCACCCTAGTCGCAGTAAATGAGGAAATGGTAACGCTTTTGCGCAGACTAGAGGTGGAAAGTCTAAACGTAGCTCTTAAAATCAACAGACAGAAAACAAAAATAATGGTAGTGGACCGCCATAATTCCATACAGTTAACGGCGGCCTTGGATAGTTTTGAACAGGATGAGTATACGAGGTGTGATCAAAAAGTAACGAGAATTTTCAAATTGCGTGCGCTGTATCTTGTCTATCGAGTTGATTCTTTTTTTTGTGTGTTAGTAGCACTGCCAGTGACGTACGTGTCAATTTTCAGGCAGCTACGACGCTTAGTTTGTGTTTGGCGAGCGAATGAGCAAGACGTACTTCAGTGTGTTCGGCGATTTTTTGTGTGGCGAAATGTCGGATCAGAGTTTGTTTGAAATTTTGTGTTAAAAACGGAATTAAGTGCAGCGAAACGTTCAAAATGTTAAAGAAGGCCTTTAGCGACGATACTATGTCACAACCACGAGTTTATGAATGGTACAAACGCTTTCAGGAAGGCCGAGAAGACATCGAAGATGATGCGAGGTCTGGGCGTCCTAGCACGTCCACCAGTCATGAAAACGTGGAAAAAGTTAGAGATTGTGCTTGCTAATATATTAGCTAATATTAGCTAATATATTAGCTAGCTAATATATAATTGCTA